GTTGAGAAACGCAGTTTAGGAGAATGACAAAAATGATAGGATGGGAGCTAATGAGAAGTTCTACTGAACCAACAGAGATTCATCAGTACCAATGAAGATCAATTATTAGTATAGCTAATTTTGTATAGTAATACCAAAATCAGGTTGGAAGCTGAAATGATCTATATAATCAGTTAAGCAAAAGAATGTTGGGATTTGGATCACCTCTTTGCTCTTCACTTGAACATCCTCACTGAGAATCATTCATCAGAGACCAGCTAAAAATCATTTCAGTAAGAAGGAACACAAAAGAATGTAATTTAGCAAGCACCCATCTTTCTCTTTCTCTAATTTCCTGCAGAATTATGTCTCTTGACTCACCGGAAACAGAAATATGTAGATCTCGACTGTGAGAGAAGCAAGAATGGGCACCATATTTCAGATTCTAGGTTCTCTTTGGATTAAAGTAGACCCAATTGAATCAAGGGAATTTATCTACAGTACATCTTGATGCACCATTCGACAATTGATTCAATTTATTTATTTATTTATTTATTTACAGTATTTATATTCCGCCCTTCTCACCCTGCAGGGGACTCAGGATGGATTACAATGTACACATATATGGCAAACATTCAATGCCAGAGACACACAACAGATATAGACAAACAGTCAGAGGCTATTTAACTTTTTCTGTCCGCCAGGGGAGCTGTCGCTTTCATCATCCTTTTGCGACACTGATGAAGTACTTCTGCATTCCCCGCATGCTTTTCCTGGAGTGCTTTGCTGGAGTCTTTTTTATGACCCCATAAATTTTGTTTAATTAGCCTCCTCACACATAGGTGGTACCTAATTTTCCTACTTGACAGATGCAACTGTCTTTCGTGTTGCAAAGGTTGACAACAAGCTACACAATTGGTCGGAAGCTCACTCCAACCCGGGCTGGCTTCGAACTCATGACCTTGTGGTCAGAAGTGATCTTAATGCAGCTGACACTCAGACAGCTGCACCACAGTCCCGGTGATCTATTCTGGTGGGGACTAGTCAGCAGGATTATGGCCTTCGGTTTGATACCGATGATTAGTTGGCTTCCATCTTCATCCTTACCCCCCCTCCCCTTCAGTGTTTGGGTTTTGATATATTGTTTGTTTGTTTGTTTGTTAGTGGCATCATGTTTTGAATACTCTATTCTTTCATTGTAGGATGCCATCAATCGAATGATGTGCTCTAATTTCAGTACCACCAACAACAAAAATACATAAGATACACCTGTGATTTTAAGATGCAGCCCATTTTTAGAGATGTTGATATAAAATTCATTTATATTTCATATGCACATTGCCTGAACTTTTTCATTTTTATTTTTGTGCACTACTTAGAAATCTTCAGATATGGACTTGACCCCAAAGTGGACCAGATTCTGAAGCTGAATATCCAGGGACTTCTGGTTCTTAATGGGGATGGGGCGGGGGGTTAAATTTGCTTAAACCGATTTAACCCCATGTTTACCAAAGCTGGGGAATACTTCAGGATTTTGACAAACTTCAGGAAGAGTATGGACAACATGACTAACTCTAATGCGAACCGATCCACTGTCCACATAGATTGGCACCATCAAGGCCTTTTCCTTGCTCTCGGCTTATGCAGTCATGATGAATGGTTGAGAATCCAGCCCCTACTGAGAGAAAAAGAATTGGGTCACCTTAATAATTACATTAAAGTAAAGGTAAAGGTTTCCCCTGACATTGTCTAGTCGAGTCCGACTCTGGGGGGGGGGGGTGCTCATCTCCATTTTTAAGCCAAAGAGCCGGTGTTGTCCGTAGATGCCTCCAAGTTTATATGGCCGGCATGACTGCATGGAGCACCGTTACCTTCCCACCAAGGCGGTACCTATTGATCTACACACATGCTTTTGATCTGCTATCTTGGCAGAAGCTGGGGCTAACAGCAGGAGCTCACCCTGCTCCTTGGATTCAAACCACCTATTGAGTAAATTCTAAAAAGTGGAAACCAATGATGGATAAGAAGATATTACCCTGACCTGCTCTTAGAGACTGCATGCTACATAGTTCTCGTTTCCTTCTAGTCTGAGGAATTTATTTTTCCAAAATTCTTGGCTACCGTGGTGGGAACCACACAGAGGCTAAATGAACGAAAAGCTTTATAAAATAGTAGTAATGCTTTGTCATAGTTTCCTGTGACCCAAAGCACACATTCATATCCCGCATTCTTCTGTCTTAGGGCCAAGACCTAAACCATCTTAATCTCTCTCAAAATGCTAGAATAGATAGATAACATTCATTTCAGACAAGCTCATTCCCTCTCTTACTGTTTTGCTCAATAGCATTCTGCAACCCTTGACATTTCCCCTCATAAACCAGAGGTGAGTGAGAATAATTTGTTACTGTTGTTTGGGATTCTTCTTGCCAGGAATCTAAATTAGCCGATGTTCTCCATGGAAAACCACCCATGCTTGTTCTCTTTATGTCTCACACGCTTGCCAAAGAATGCACTCCTACACACGAGCATACCTCTGGCTCTTTGTCACCTGTGTGAGACTCAATTGGTTTTTAGTTTACATCATTGTAATGCAAATGAAGGCCCCCTGGTGGTGCAGTGCGTTAAACCACTGAGCTGCTGAACTTGCTGACTGAAAGGTCGGCAGTTCGAATCCAGAGAGTGGGGTGAGCTCCCGCTGTTAGCCCCAGCTTCTGCAAACCTAGCAGTTTGAAAACATGAAAATGTGAACAGATCAATAAGTACTGCTTCTGCGGGAAGGTAACGGCACTCCATGCAGTCATGCTGACCACATGACTTTGGAGATGGCTACGGACAACACCGGCTCTCCGGCTTAGAAATTGAGATGAGCACCACCCCCAGAGTCGGACGCGACAAGACTTAATGTCAGGGGTGTTGCACCTCAGAGTAGATTCACCTTGCTGAAAAACACCAAACTGCAAACAACCAGAAGTCTTTATGCTTTATTAAAAATAAAAGGCAAAAAGTTCACAAAAGCAAAGGTTAATGTTCCAAAAGATCAGGATAACATAGCACTTGAAGCATAATTCAATAGGCATCGGCAAAGCAAGACCCAAGAGAACAAGACAAAGTCCTGGAAACCATGAACACAAAGACTGCAAGATAATCCAGTCTAGCCTAGGCAAGCTCCTTAGGTAAATGCGAAGTTGCTTTACAAAAGATCTGGTCTCAAACACCCTGTTTAATACCCTTTGCAAAACATAAAGGCGTTTCTCTGGCCTCTGGCCTCCCTCTTGTTTGCTATCCTCTCACTCCTTCGAACACGAAATTCCAACCGATCAGCCCAATCTAAAGTTCCCATATCGTCAAGGTCAATTTGCTGTGAGAAACTGCACTTCTTCACTGTCTATAGCAGGGACATTTTGAACTAAACTGTGAACCGGAGTCCCATCATCCTCGTCAGAAACACTCTCTGATTCCTGTTGTGTCACAACAAGGGGAAACTTTTACTTTTACTTAATGCAGATGGAAACCATCTCTTGGCAGCCATATTCTTTTGAATCATCTTATTAAAACACTATAACACATTCTCCTTACAAGAAACAAGCCAAGCCAAAAGCACAACAAATGCCCAGATACCCATTTTGGCATCATAGGGCATGCCGTAATTCCCTTTCTTTCTCACACATAGCTTCATCCAGGACCAGCCTAAGTTCAGGTGGAATTGTAAGGTAAGCAGCAATTTTTAAATTGCTTTTTAATAAAGCTACGAGTTTTGTCAGGACCCCTGAAGGGGTGGCGAGGGGTTTTCAGAGGGGTCACCAAAGACCATCAGAAAACACACATTTCTGATGGTCTTAGGGACCCCTTTGGTAGAGAAGGCTGAAGATCTCTCTACCTGTCCTTCTCTTTGTTTTTCGAAACAGACGGCTAATCCTCCCACCTAAAGTCCTCCTCCTGCTCTCTGGATGTAAGTGAACTACAACTCCAATACTCAAGGCCAATGCCCACCAAATTCTTCCAATATTTTCTGTTGGTCATGGGGTTTCTGTGTGGGAAGTTCTATCGTTGGTGGGGTTCAAAATGCTCCTTGATTGTAGGTGAACTATAAATCCCAGTAACTGCAAAACCCAAATGTCAAGGTCTATTTTTCCCAAACTCCACCAGTGTTCATATTTGGGCATATTGAGTATCCATGCCAAGTTTGGTCCAGATCCATCATTGTCAGACTCCACAGTGTTCTCTGGATGTAGGTAAACTACAACGCCCAAACTCAAGGTCAATGCCCACTAAACCCTTCCAGTACTTTCTGTTGATCATGGGAGGTCTGTGTGGAAAGTTTGGCCCAATTCTATCATTGGTGGGCTTCAGAATGCTCTTTGATTGCAGGTGAACTATAAATTCCAGCAACTGCAACTCCCAAATGTCAAGGTCTATTTTTCCCAGAGTCCACCAGTGTTCACCTTTGGGCATATTGAGTATCCATGCCAAGTTTTGGCCCAGATCCATCATTGCTTGAGTCCGTAGTGCTTTCTGGATGTAGGTGAACTACAACTCCCAAACCCTAGGTCAATGCCCAACAAACTCTTCCAGTATTTTCTGTTGGTTGTGGGAGTTCTGTGTGCCAAGTTTGGTTCAAATCCATTGTTGGTGCAGTTCAGAATGCTCTTTGATTGTAGGTGAACTATAAATCCCAGTAACTACAACTTCCAAATGACAAAATCAATTCCTCCGCCAACCCTACCAGTGTTCAAATTTGGGTGTATCGGATATTTGTGCCAAATTTGGTCCAGTGAATGAAAATATATCCTGCATATCAGATATTTACATCAAGATGCATAATAGTAGCAAAATTACAGTTACGAAGTAGCAACAAAAACAATTTTAAGGTTGGGGGTCACCACAACATGAGGAACTATATTAAGGGGCCGTGGCAATAGGAAGGTTGAAAACCACTGCCATAGAAGCTCATGCTTTTTATAAGAAAGCATGAACCGGCAAGTTTTGAGACCGCCTCGGAAACCTCAGAGTGGGGCGACCGAGTTCATTTGCATACAGCCCATGAGCCACTGAGTGAGGATTTACAACTTGAATTTACAGGGAGAATCGTAAGGGGAGAAATAGCTTTTTAAAGCGACTATGATGACTCCTGATGTTTGCTCGGAGAAAGTAATACAATCACAGTGGAAGCTTTTTTTCAACATCATAACATAAAAGAAGGTTGCTCGTGAGTTTGATTTCTATTTATTGTACCAACTGCAGACAAAATACAAAATTTGTGATTTATTTATCGTGTTAGAATTTTTGGAGGCCTGCCGTCGGGCCACTAATGCAGTGTAATGAGAGATGTATGTATCATATATATTAACAGCTGTAAGGTAAGATAAATGCAAGTAAACTGGCATCTAAGTGAAAGGGATACTTGTAAACTTGGTATTACATTGCTTGCTTGGATTTCAATCCAAGCATTTCAGGATAAGAATATTTTGAGGTCAATAATAGAAGGATAGAAGGATACTAGAGACAAAGTTGAAGTACTTTGGCCACATCATGAGGAGACAGCAAAGCCTAGAGAAGACAACAATGCTGGGGAAAGTGGAAGGCAAAAGGAAGAGGGGCCGACCAAGGGCAAGATGGATGGATGGCATCCTTGAAGTGACTGGCTTGACCTTGAAGGAGCTGGGGGTGGTGACGGCCGACAGGGAGCTCTGGCGTGGGCTGGTCCATGAGGTCACGAAGAGTCGGAGACAACTGAACGAATGAACAACAAAATAATAGCAGGGCTTTGGAATTAGGCCTACTTTAAATAGCTAGCCATTGGATTTTGGGAGTTGAAGTTTACCCAGCAGTATGGAGTCCGCGCAGGCAATAGATTTCTTGGAGGTCTGACCTGGGATGATGAGAGTTATAGTTCACCCACATCCAGGGTCCACATGTGAACTCGACTGGCAATAGATCTGGACCAAACTGCAGTTTGGAGGACTTGACCCGCAATATTGGGAATTATAGTTCACCCACATCCAGGGAGGACGTGTTGTCCATCCAGCAAAAGATCTGGACCAAAATTGGCACACATACCCAACATGATGGGCTTGGAGTTTGAGGGAGATTGACCCAGCAGGATGGGAGTTGTAGTTCACCCACATCCTTATACTTTCAGAGAGCCTGCCAATGCTGGACTTGGACCAAACTTGGAACATCCACCTACCCACCAACCATGACCAAAACAAAATACTGGCAGGGTTTGGGAGGAATTGATCCTTGAAATTGTGAATTATAGTTCACACAAATCCATAGAGGCCTGTGAAATTCCACCGATAATGGATCTGGACCAAACTTGGCACAGATACTCATCATGACCAAATATAAGTAAATGGATGGGTTTGGGGGGCAACTGCAGAGGATGATGGGAGTTATAGGTCACCCATATGACCCATATAACAGCACTCTGGACTCCACATATAATGGATCTGGACCTAGTTGTCTAATATAATAAAGGTAAAAAGGTAAAGGTTTTCCCTGACATTAAGTCTAGCCGTGTCCGATTCTGAGGGGTGGTGCTCATCTTCATTTCTAAGTCGAAGAGCCGGCATTGTCCGTAGATGCCTCCAAGGTCATGTGGCCAGCATGACTGCATGGGGCGCTATTACCTTCCCGCAGAAGCGGTACCTATTGCTCTACTCATATTTGCATGTTTTTAAACTTCTAGGTTGGCAGAAGCTGGAGCTAACAGCGGGAGCTTAACCTGCTCCTTGGATTCGAACCGTCAACCTTTTGGACAGCAAGTTCAGCACCTCAGCAGTTTAACCTGCTGCACCACGAGGGGGGAGCAATACAATAAAATTGTGCTACATTAAGCTTATCTGGACTTGTCTTTAATTACTGTTTGAATGCAGTTTGACACTACTTAATCTTCCACCATGCTGTGGGAGTTGTACTTTGACAAGACCTTTACCTTTCCCAGCCAAAGAATGCTGCTGCCTCAGTAAACTCTGCAACTCCCAGGATTCCATAACATTCTGCCATGGGCAGAAAATAAAGGAGGTGCAAACCATTGTTTTCCCCAACTCTATTTGTTTCCATGAATAATAATACCACAGAACTTGACTGAAGGGGGGGGGGGTGGTTCGATATTTCTAGCAATTTAAATTATGTATGGGACTAGCAAAAACACCTTCTTGAGTATTCCTTACCAAAAGAAAAAAAAAGTATGACAAGTCATTGGGTTGCAATAAAAGACTCATGCATTTTTTAAAACAAAGCAAGAACCGGCACCTTTTGAGACCGCCTCGGAAACCTCAGAGCGCTGCGACCGGGTTTATTTGCATACATCCCCATGAGCCACTGCGCGTGGATTTCCAGCTTGAGTTTACAGGGGGAATCGTAAGATAACCACTTGAAAGAAATAGCTTTTCAAAGCGTTACGATTCTTG